TAAAAAGCGAAACCCCTCTACGGGACGGATTGAAATAAACGCCGGAACGGTATCGATATCGGCGGCTCCAGTTCCGTCAGCTTGGCGATTGTGGCGAGAGAGGAAACGTGGGAGTTTTGCGACGCCATTGTGTGTAAACACAACGCAGTAGGCCGGGGGTACAAAAGCTCAGACAGGTGTGTCTCGAAGAAACGCGCCTGTGTTTAAACGCTACCTGGCTGTCCCGGACAATCGAGAGGAAGTTAGAGATCCGTACCGTAACGTTTGCCGTTGTTAGCGCAGAACGTCTACCTTACACACACAATGTACAATGTACGTGTTGAATCAAAAGTCTGAAAAACACCGGGGTGGAGTATTATTCACCGAAGATACCAGCGTTTCTATGAATAATATCTGCAGTGGTACAGAAAGTATAACATCCATTAGAAAATTTAAAAAGTAATCGATTTAAACTGATATCGAAATGATATTTCGTTAATTGTGACTGGCATAGCAAGAAAACAAGCTTTAGACAAATATGTAGATAGTAGTTTCATTTTACACTAAGAAAATACCGCTTAGGAAACATTTCCTTAATTTCTCCTATAACAAGGGCTAATTCGAAAAATTATCTGTATATCAACAACACAAGCCCACAAAAAGTTGTCTGCATATTCTTACATGTTTTAGGGAATTGAATATGACCTCTGTTTTGAACCTACCAAGGATTTTTTATATATCGGTAATTTATATTATATCCTACTTCTAACACAAAATATTACGCAACAATATCCTTGGCTGGGTATATGACCTCGAATGAACAGGGGTCTAGCGGGATTATCGCTCTTTACCCACAATGAAACTCTGATTACCACAAGTCTGAGAATCCGAGTGACAACACAAGATGGCTCGTATCTAATGAGGAACTTCATAGATTCCAGAACCTTAGAATGGGGAACTCAGTAACTTTACTACCCTTAAATCCTTTATCAGAAACCTCCATAACCTCGTGAGCCTAATAACCATATACAATTGGGTACAAGGTGAACAGCACGAAGGAATTCAAATGATCACGATATTTATGGTTGACTAATCTTGGAATTAAGATTCAACTGTAATCCAGTAACTCTTTATCAGGAATCACCATAAACCCCAGAACTCCTTATGAGAATGGGAATGCAGTGATATTTGAATTTCTTCGACCAGTTCACTGCATTCGTGGTCTCAGAATAATGGGGTTTATGGGTTTACGAGATTATGGTGATTTCTGATAATGGGTAATAAGTTTCCCATTTCCCATTCCAAGGTTTTGGATTCAATCAATATCGTTATTAGATAAGAGAAAAATCAATCAAATTAACCAGCAAAAAAGCACATGGCACTTGTATTAGTAGTTTTTTTTTAATCTAATACGTTTATCTTATATCCTGCAATCTCACATAAAATATCCGCAATGTATAAAAGAAAGAAATAATTAAGCATGTTAAAATTGGTTGCATGGTTCAAGCTTCAGTGTTATGCCCATGTTGGATTCAGTAATGTATTTTAATGAAACGTCAAAAATCATAATAAAATAGACTAATTTTAAGTTGCAGTTAAAACATATATTCCAGGTTCAGAATAGTGGGTAGAGATTCATTCTCAACATGTAGACCCTCCTACGGGTAAGACGTGCAAATAATCGAATTCCATGGGCGTATCATTTTAAAGAGTTCAAAAAATCGTTAAATTAAGACATGCTAATTTTGGTAAAAACTAGATTATCCTTACAAATTACGGTAGTGCATATCCGGTAGGTATGTAGCAACTGCGACTAGAACACATATAAACTATTATCCAAATATCTGCATTCAGAGATGATAAGATTTTCTATTAATACCGGCCACAATTCCATTTAAACTGTATTCTATCCTATTTAATTCCTGTAATGTTGTTTCATCATAAGATAAATTTCAGTGCATTGAAAACCGATTCAAGTCCTAGTAATTGCCCTACAAAAGTGTGTTTTATGTACGAAAGAACTAGGTTCACACTAGTATATGAAAGTGAAATGAAAATATTTAATGTCGAAAAAAAAAAACACTTCCAATCCCATTAGCCTATCGATAAAAAAGAAAAAATATATTGTTTTTATCTTTGCAGAAGCCTTGGATCTATAACTGGGTTTAGATTCTCCTTCTATTTTCTATTTTTTATTCAATTTTGATGAAGTGATTATTTCCTCTTTGATACCTATTATAACATGATAAACTAAAAATTCAACAAAAAAATGTGTTTTTTTCGTCATTTAAGACATTCAACTTGTAACGTTTTTGAACTAAAAGTTAATTTTTCTCTTTTGAACTAAAAGTTAATTGTTAATTATGTTACTTGGATCGTTTTTCTTCTGCTGTATTGTACTACTTCCTCCCACTTGTACGCTTATGATTCGCACTGACCTTAGCCGAAAACGAAGACAGAGCGAAATTTCATTCCGAGTCAAACCATTCGGCCTCAGTCGTGTCTCTTTTTGTACAAGATAAGTAAAGATAAAAACAATAGCTTTTAGCAATAAAACGATCTATACCGGAACAATATGCGAAATGGGTCATTCACCCATTACAATGTCTACCCTTTTATTAGCTTTACTGGACCGCGTTTCTGTTCAATAAAATGTTCTCTGCTGACATATGTAGGTCTACAGGATAATAATACACCACCTCTTCCGCATAAATCAATGATTTGTTATTTAATCACGATGGCTTAAATATTCTTGTTTATTACATATTATTTCCCATTAATAATAATGTAGTACCTTTTGACTTAATATATGTTGTAATCTAACAATTCTTCTTCCTATACCTTGAAATCTCAGCTACTGTTATTCTAATTGCAGCATTCTCAACAATAATTAATAGAAAATGAAAGAGTAACCGTACAAAATAAAACAGAACGATGGGAATCATTCCTAGAGTCATAAACATAAACAGTATTTATTGTTTTCTTTATTAATATTAATATAAATATAAGCGAAGAAAAAAAAAGCGAAGCGGATTTTTGTAAGTTATTTTTAAACCCTGACAATGGTCGTTCGCATAAAACGCGATTCTCACAATTAATGCATAATAACGAACCTGTCGTCCTTTCTACAAACGGAAGCCTCTTCACACTCGAACTAAGAATGTAATTTTAAATTTCCTGTACAGGTAGCATCGGCCTGTGTCTCGAGTAACCTACAAATTCTTTCAATACATGTAAGGTTTCGTATGTCGAAGCTTAAAGAACTTATTTTATTTCGTTTTTCGGTTTTTGTTAATTTTTTATCTCGTTTCATTTTGATTTGTTTTTTCCTCTTTGTTTGGCTTTTTTGTTATTTAGTTTCTCTTTCTAGTCTTTAGTTTGATCCTGTTTATTTTATTTCATGTTGTTCTCTTCCATTCAGTCCAATTTAGTTTGTTTTGTTGCTTTATTTTCAGTTTATAGTAATAAAAAATTGTACTATACGTTTTTTAGTTCTTAAATAGTTTTACTAAAAACATCGTTTGTATTTTGGAAAGGAGAAAATGTATTTCAGATGTTTATTAATTTTTAGTGTAGTATTTACAATTTACAGTAGACATTTTTAATATATTAAGAAAATTCTCAACAAATATGTGCACGTGTATCTTCGAAAACGCACTGTTTATTCTTGTTTGCACATGCTCTTATACCAGTTTATCTCTTACTTGTTTGTAGATCTCGGACATATTGCAGATAGCGTCAGGAAGAGCGTGCTCTTTCTTGACAGAAATATGGTATTAGTTCATATAAAATAATTATTTCTGTGATTGTTAAATTTGTTTTTATTTATTTTATTTTTTTGAGTTAATATAGATCGGATCTAGAGAAACCAGACCAGGGACGGCTTTAGCAACAATGTCATCACGCAAAAATCAAATCCTAGCCAATGTTTTCGTCTATATGTTAAAATATTCAACACTATTATTCACTGGAACGACTACAGCTGATGTATGCTTAAAAAGTAAAACCAAGTGGATTCGGTAACACACATTCACGTGGATATTCGGCGATATTTTAGAAAGTAAAAATTATAGCGATATTCAGTGTAGAAAACAGCCAATTAGGTATGTAGATGCTCCTCAGAAGTGTGTCTGTAATATATACTTTTAATTAGTGTAATTATTTTTATTAATTGATACGAAAAACGCGAACCGGAATAGTCACGATATCTAATTTCGCAATACGCGGATACTAAGCATGCATGGAAGAATGTGAGGAATTCTGATCGCTGAAGTTAGGTATAAATATTTTTTAATGCAAATCATATTAGTTGTATACTGGTTTACATTTTATAATATCCTATTATTTTGTTCCACATTTTCCATGGTAGTAATTTAAGCATAACGTACGTAATAAAGAATATCATCTGTTAACCAGGTTATCTACAATTACCACTTAAGTGAAGAAAGAAGATTGATACACCTAATACAAGAACTAAAGGAATATTCAACAAACAGCGCAACCATTCTTAAGTCTTTAAAAGAGAACCACATTTCTAAAACTGTCAACAGAGGAGAGATGATGGTTTTTGGTTTAACAGGATATTCAGTTTATTTTCGTAGATATGTGGCAAATACAGAATTATAAAAGTATTTTAAGAAATATGTCAACTATTACCAACTGTATTGTTGATAATTGTTTAAATGGATGGGTATTTGTAAGAAAATAACTTCAACACGAACAATATGAAGTCCCGATCATACTGAGAATCTTTCATTTCTTCTACCATTGTCTTAAAGAACAATGATTTACCATACTAGGAGTGAAAACTTATTTTAGATTAGTGAAAATGACAGAAACCAAACTTGAAACTTTCTCACACGTATATATTTCTAAATGAAGAAGAGACGTTTCTTGTTGTGGATCCTTTGACTTAAACTTAAATTTTTTAAATTATTCTACAACAGATTACTTGGAAGAACATTTTACAGCACAATTAACTTTTTTAGTTTATTAGATCTTTCGAATTGTTTCTCTCTTACCTGCTTTCAGTTTCTATCCCCAATTTGTGATTGTTATTGCTTTCCACAATGGCTGTCGTTTTGAATTTATTGTCTTCTGCGCCTATCAGCAGCTCAGTTCTTCCATTCTGGAAAGGTGAGGAGCCTCTTCTGTCGCCTATCCTTCGGCTGACTTGAGTCGGACTGTCCCTAGATTTCTGGAGTTCGGCCTGAAAGCAGAAATAAAGATTTTTAAGGTATACATTTTCCTTTCAGAAACAATCTTTTTTATATCTTTAGAACATACACCAATAATGTCTATAGTCTATACTGTCAACAATCTAGATGTTGACATTTTGTTTGGTAGGAAGCAAAAATTTCTCTCAGTGTATCTACTAAATTTCGACTGTTTTATGATTTATTGCGGTTTTATTAAAATCCGCGACAAGTTCTTGTTGCTGCGAAACCAAAACCTTTTTTAAGGGCTGGAAGCCAGGTTTTTATGGACTCAATAGAAAGACTATTTATATCTAATTTTCAACGGCTTCACGTCCAAAAATATCCAATTTCATAGTGCCACATATTTCATCGAAACCTTTCATTGGATTCGCAATAAATATATGGACAGGATTGGACTAGGGCGTATGAGAAACAGGTTATTCTTGGGCTGCTTCGATTGAGTTTAGAATTCAGAACAATTCAATAATATAAATTTTCCTAAAGATATATTTTAGTAACAATTTTTGATAATTAAAAATCATTAGGTATGTACTTTGCTTATGATCACTTTTTCAAAGTAGACTTTAGACTTTTGATGTTTCTAGAGACATATCGCTTTTTTCTTCAAAAGAGACCCTGAAACTGCTGATTAAGTCCTCTGGGCGGTATTTATATTTGCCGCATGTATTAGTCCATGGCTTTCTGGTGTATGGTTTGAAGTCATTGACCTATGACACGCCAACCCTTGATTTTTGTGTCAGTTCCAAATCCTCCAGGTCCAGAGCTTGTTCTGAAGAAGACGACATGTCTCTGGAAACGTCATCAAGACATAGCAGTCTGCCTTGAAACTGTTGTTGACTGGAAAATCGTTCTTGATCTTTTTAAATACCCACCTGTGCGGTGACCCTGACGTCGTTCGGCACCTTGGTGACGTCCTTGACGTCGAGGGAGTTCTGGGTGATGTGCAGATCCGCGGAGTTGTGTCCGTTGGGCAGCTGGGGCTTGGGGGTGGTGATTACGTCCTTGTTGACGGCTACGACGGTGGTGTTGCTGCTGAGCACGCCGCCGCCTCCCGGTCTGTTTGCGGTGGGGTTGTTGTTTGAACTTTCGGTGGCCGTCAAAGAAGTCACGTAGATCGGCGAGTTGCTGATGAAGCCGTTCAGCTCTTCTCCTGACGATGTCGTCTGATTCAACTGGAAAATCAATAATTAATAAATTTGTATTCGTAATAAAATTGAATAATATTAAATAGCAATTAGATTAGTTTTACTTGATTATTATTATTTTTTTATTCTGGAAATTAATATCGTATAAAAAAATGAAAGTAAATGAACAGTTTTCAGGCCAATTGCCATGTTGTTGATTTAGAATTCTAGACCTTTTGAAACATTGCTCTTTCCTTCAGAAGTGAAACTGGAGATTAAGTCCGCTGGTCGGTATTTATATATTTTGGGAAGACTGGTTCCTAGCTTTCCGGTGATTCCTTGTTTTTTTTATAAATGAGTTTTCAAACTCTGTGTAGTTCTAAGGCCTTTGTTCAAATTATGATTTTTCTGGATTTTTATTGGCTCCTGTGGTAGACTCCTGGCTAAAATCTTCTCGCATGTACTATAATTTTAGTATTATAGTATTGTTCAATAACTTTTCTTTTAAATTTACAACAGTAGAATTTATTCACAAATATTTCTTTTATTTCGCTTTGCGAATCTCACAATGGGAGATTACCGCTGTTTTCAGATGTTACAAAGATCCCAACACATCCAGTATATGACCCACAGACCACTTGAGACGCGGAGTCAGGTTACTTTGGCCTGTTTCATTTCCAACTTAAATTTGCCAGACGTTTCTCAGGGGCGCCAGATCTGTGTCTGTCACAATACACAATGCTCGACGGTATATTCTTAGAATTTACTAAAATCTGTGATTAGGTGTTTCCTTTCTCCCCAAGCCGACAAATATTTCTTTACCACTCAAGTGCATGAATGAATGATGTAGAACTAATCTAAAATTACACTGGGTAGGTAGTGATATTCTGGTAATTTGTGTATCCTTTTGAACACAGTGGAACCTTTCAATGTCAAAAATTCTTAATTTCTAATTTTATTATTTACAGGCCGTGGTATTTGTTGATAACATCGGTTTTATAATGCACATAAATTAAAATAAGGAGCCACTTTAAAATAATATTAATATTCCTTAATATTGAAAAACTAATTAATTGTTCACGCACGAGGGGCATCCCTCCAATCCAAAGTGGTAAAAATAAAAAGTTTTTTTTCGGAAACTCTCATTAAAACTTGACATTTTAATTTTCTTTCAAAATAATTCTCTAGTTAACTGGAATAAAAATGACAGGAAGTCTTTTTCATTAACTTAATTGGATAAATTGCTTCAATAATATGAATACTTATTTTCGAAAATTTATTTTCTTCATTTAAACAAATTTCATCTCAGTTCGTCAACAAGTTGATCAACTTTATATCACATGTAGAGGCAAAGTAATGTTTTAAAATCATGTCTTGTTTTCAAGCTTCATTTCAATGGGTCGAGTACTGATGCTGATGGAGCATTGAATCAGAAACTTCAACGTACGTGTCCGTCATTGAAGTAAACTACCAACCCCTACCTCTTTTGATGGAAATAATGTCTGTCTTACAATCGTCATAGGAGAGCATCTGGAAAAGTGTCCCGTACAGTGTTTTGGATGCGACAATCTCAATCAAATATGCAAATATTTTTAAATTGGTAGGTTTTCCAATGAAATTTTCAATAAATCTAGTGCGCAAAGCAGACTATTTTCAACATAACGAGATAATTTGAAATGACAAATCTCCTCTGAGTATGTGTCTTGCTATCAGGAAGTTTAAGAATAACATTTAACCGTAACCTTTGTCTACTATTCAGTTTGTTGTCAATAGTGGGAAAATTAGAGGCCAAATTTCAAGAAAAACACCAAATTTTCTCAATTGTCGACGTTTCGTCACTTATCGTGACATCCTCAGGACAATTACAGATTTAAGTGCTTCACTGTGTTTTCCTAGTCACGTTATACATAGTGTGTCATATAACAATATTGGACAGTATAGATGTTAGTAAAAATTGATTGATTTTTAATACATGATCTTGATGTATGTGTACGCTATTCTATACCAATATCTATACTGTCCAAGATTGTTATATGACATACTATGTATAACGAGACTAGGAAAACACAGTGAAGCACTTAAATCTGTAATTGTCCTGAGGATGTCACGATAAGTGACGAAACGTCGACAATAGAGAAAATTTGGTGTTTTTCTTGAAATTTGGCCTCTAATTTTCCCACTATTGACAACAAACTGAATAAAAATAAGGCTACCAATATCATTAGTTTGTCTACTATATTTTGTATAGTCACATTTAGTAGTTCTCTTTTTCTACAAGTCCGATGAATGACCCTTATTTAATAACTTCATATAGAGAATATGAATTACCCTGATTAATAAAAATTGTTCATCGGGGGTTTTCTGTTTTCGATTTATAGTTTCGTTCAAAATCTTAGACTTGGAATGATATCCAATCAATTTACTTTTCAAATGAGGAACCGGTTTTGAGAATATTTTCATAATAATATTTTATTTAACATTAAGCCAATAACATAGTTTCATATGAAAGATGAAAGGTGATTTTTGCCACTCCACTTTTAAATCAGTCTTGTCCATAAGAATTTTTTCAGATTGTTGGAAGTTTACAAAAGTGTGTCAAGTATTGAAAGAGGGAGATAAGTTTGATATTTGCAATTATAGATCTATAACGATTATACCGAACACCCTCTAATTTAATTACTGTGACTCAGTGATATCTTAGACAATAGATACATATGGTCAAGTTGAAGTAATACACACGGACTCCTCGAAGGCATTCGATCGAGTACAACATGTTTTACTGAAAAAAATTGAGTTTTTTAAAGTTATTTGGTTTTACATCATATTGTTATGTTTCAAACTTCGGTGTGCCACAAGGGTCAACTTTTAGACTCTTATTGTTTAATGTATTTATAAATGATTTGTAATCGACTTTTATACGATGGCCATCTATAAATTTATAACTATATACACGCATAAGGACTGTGACGTATTGTAATGTGAAATAGATAAATTAACTGAATAGTGAATTAATATTAGTAACGTGGCATTGCTTGTAAAATCGTCACTACATACGAAGGACAAACCCGATGTGTCGTTCACATATTCACTGAATTAAGTTCAGTTAACCAGACACAAAACAGTTAAAGATTTAGGAATTACATTTGATGCCGAGTTGTCCTTTAATCAGCATACATATATGTTACTTGGTAAACCAAAGTAATAAAGTCTTAGGATTCATAAGTCGCAACTGTAAATCCTTTTATAACTTGGACATTTTATTTTTCTTTAGTTATATCTCGAATATTGCTCACTTGTATTTTTTCCATTTTATCAGACACATTTCAACCATCTGGAGTCAGTTCGGAGAATATTCTTAAAGTTCCTATATTTAAAGGTGTATATTCTGAAGGCGGAGTTAGCTAAGAATTTATTCACTGCAGCAAATATAGTGCTATCTCCGACATACCAGGTGTCTCATTTTAAAGGAAACATCTTTATTTCTTTCTTCGATGAATGCTACGACTTATTTAAAACATTTTTTATGCAGAAAATTAAGTTTCCTTTAAAATGGGATGTGAGATGGACTAATTTTAATAATATCTCTAATGACTGTGAAATAAATGTTTGTACAATGTCCCTAAACATTATTTTTTATTACAGAAACTTAGTTTTGTTCTGATGGTCACAATTAAACATGTTCTTTGTCCTTCACATGAATGCTGCTGCTAATTTCCTGTTGAAATATTTTTATTTACGACGATAAAACTGATTCTAATGATTTTTTCCCCAATTTAAGCAATATTCCAAAGCAGTTTTTGAAAAAATATTGTGTGATACACAGTTACGAAATCGCTTTTGTACTCTCGATTGATTTTTTACTCGCTAGCGCTGGAAGAAAAACTTTTAAAGATTTTTATTAGTCTTCAAGTGAAATTTGTTGAATACGAGTATGATGCAAAATAATACACGAGAAAGCAGTGCAAGTCCCACACTCCAAACGGCCTGTAAGATACGTTCACATCCAAATTCCCACACACTCCCTGCCTTAAGTGGCACTTATCATTTATTTAGATTACCGTCGTTTTCGTTTTCAAGAGGTCTCGAGTAATTTATAATTTATTTTATGGACATAATCCCCGTGAAGTGTTTGCGGTTATCAGCGGCCCAATCTCACTCTGGATTTAGTTTTATTAGTTGCAGCAGTAAGATTATTCACAAATATAATTATATTTGCTTGGTTGAACAATTTGATTTCGTCGAGGTCGTTGTATCGATATTTTAGGAAACTGTTATTATTACAAAACTGTTATTTTCGATGGGAATTTACAATAAGGATGCCTCACACAGAAGTGGGTCATTTAATTTCCTGCGATTATTATTATTATTATTAAAGAGTAGTTTGTTAAATCTGCGGACAATTTTGAGGATCGAGGTCCCCAAAGTTGCTCCTAAATTTCACAAACTAGAGCTACTTTAAGTACCAGTATTTAACTTTTGTTCAGCATTTTGGAAACCAAAGGCTTCTCACCTGTTGGGAAAGTTTGGTCATGTCGACGGGTGTAATGCGTTTGAGCGCTGAGAGACGCTCCAAACGCTCTCGAGCTTGCTGCTCCACAGCGATAACGAAGGCATCTTGAACGTTGCTTGAACACAGATCTAGGTCCACGGCTGTAAAAAGAAAAAAAAATTTAAAATCATTGCGAAAGTAATGCTATTGCAATATTCATCTTAAAATAATAATCTACCGCCCCTCTCACACACAAAGTATGTCCCACATGCCTTCTCATCTTAAAAGAAACGAATCGTCATTGATAAGAGAGGCATGCATAGAAAAGGTAGAGTTGTGAACCTTTCAACTTTCCTTCATATTTCCATATAAATTAGGTATTAATAGGTTTATTTCTGCAGGACTCTCAAATTGTTTTCAAACTATCTGATACACTCGACCACTTAAGTTGTTACATAATTGTGTATAAGTGTATTATGGTCACGAATCGATTGGCCAAATATCTCTGATAGTTTCAAATCAATCCTCGACAGACCTATTATTTGAAGCTTCAGTTTAAATAGGTGGCCCACGAGAAAGTGCTTAAACTTTCAGACATTAATTCCCTGATAAAAATAATCAAACAAATATATAGTGTCTCCGAATGGGGTACCGCACTCATATAAACTTTTTTTGTTGTTGATTTTTCGAAAGTTGTTCTTGATAAAAGTTTTGTTTATCTTAAGAAACCATTGACAGTAATTAAAAATGTAATAAAATATACAGGGCATCCAAAAAATTTCAAAATGGGTATTTTCCCTAAGTAAAGTGCCTTTAATTTTTGTTTTCATCAGAAACTATAATTAACAAAGTTGTTCGAGAACTCAAGAAATGCTTAAATAATTAAAATAATCACATTTTGCAGATAATAAGATGCCGCAATTTTTAACTATGCATCTTATTGCATACCATATAATTACCATGGAAATTTCCTTATTAATGTCAAAGTCAACTATTTATTTTTATTAACTGCCCACCGATTTTTTTTAATTCTAACCCTGGAGCAACGATTTATCTTGTGAAATGGTTTGGAATCGGTAATGTTTCATATCGATATGCAATACAAATTTGTAATGAAAAGTATCCAAATGTAACTGTAACTCGTAGAGTAGTTCGCAAGTTAATTATAAAATTTGATACCACTGATGATGTAAAGAATATAAAAAAGATAAAAAAAGAATATAATGATAACGATGCTGCTATTGTTGTAGTTATGGACTCTGTACAAGACAATCCAAAGATGATACTCAGGAAAGGTCAGAAAACATAGATGTTAGCAGATCTCATAATCAAAGAATTTTAGTAAACAACAAAATCTATCCATACAAACCAGTGTGTAATCATAAATTGCTTGCTAGAGATGATGGTCGTCGTTTGGACTTTTGTTTAACAATGGGCGAAAAACTGAAAACAAATTCTTTCATCACAAATTTACTGACGAATCAACATTCACAACTAATGGCGTGGTTTCCTCAGAATTGTAGATAGTGGGCTAAAGATAATTCAAATTTTCGATTGATAACTAATGGCTTAAAAATTTAAAATAATTGGTCCTTACTTTTTGGAAAGTCTCAATCATTTTGTTTTGACAGAACTAGATAACGAAAATATAGATAGAGTTTAGAAGAAAACTAATATTTCAACAGGATGGATGCCCTGCACATTCCATACTTCTAGTGGTCACTTCCCGAAAAAGTGGGTTGGACGCTATGGTCCAATACCTTGGCCTGCACGGGCACCCGACTTGTGCCCATTAGACTATTTCATTTCTTATTCTCAAGTGTATTCAAACGATTTTGATGATAACATTGATTTACTTAAGCAAAAAATTCAGGAAGTTGTTACCACCATAAACGAATAAATGATTTCGTCTGTGTAGAATGAATTCTGAAAAAGATTAGAAAAATGTGTATTACTTGGAGGTTTATAGGTTGAATAGGTCTTGATTCGTTGTTGTTGTTGATAATTCCAGTTCTAATTTGTTATTTTTATTTTTAATTAGAAAAGCTACTTTTATTTGGTTTGCAGGCTACCGTAGCAGTTGTTAATGGTAGAACAATTTCTGGGCCGGTTGCCACGTCATAGGTTTAGGTTTCTTGACATTTTGAGAGACATATAACTATTTTTAAAAACTCGAAAACTTTCAAAGTTACTTTTGAGGGAAAAAGCGATATGTCTCTCTAAACGTCAAGAAACCAAAACCGACGACGGCAACCAACCCGGAAATTTTTCTACCAAGCTATTTTTATATTATATTAAATTTAAAATAAAAGTTTACTTATTTTTTACAATTTCTGTCTGCTTAAAGTAAGATTAAAAATCGCGTCTTCTTATTTGCAAAATATGATTATTTTTCTTTTTTGACTAAATCTCGTATTTAAACATTTCTTGAGTTTTAAAGCAACTTTGTTAAATAGAGTTTTTAACGAAAACAAACATTAAACGCACTTTGCTTAAGGAACATTTTACATATTAAAATTTTTTGGACGACGTGTATGTTTTATTACATATTTGATTACTACCCATGGCTTTCCAAAATAAGCAAAACTATTTTTGAAAAATTAACAATAAAAAAATTTACAAGAGTTAATTAATTTTTAACACGGTTTATTGCGCGAAAAAATAAAAACCTAGAAAACAATAACTATAAAATTGGATGCACAGTTCGAGGTAAAACATTGCATCACCTCAGTAAAAATTTTTTGGGTGACTCATCTGCTAGAGCCGACCCTGATCGGAACCTCCGCGATCCGGCGTCTGGCCTCCTATGATAACTCTACCGCGTCCAAGGTTGACCCAGTTATCCTGGTGCAGCCCTAAAGTAATTTGTTAGCCTTGCATGTGGCATTATACCCTCTTCAGAGGTAACCGGAGGCTAACACAATTGCCATTGGGGTCCGCCGTGAGCAAATGAAAGAGAACAAACCCACTCAGCGCCGGCGAGATATGCAACTCGAGTTGCACCACTGTCTATAACTTGATATCAAGAGCTACTTCTACGTTGGAGGGGCTCTCAAGATCTTTTCGAGGCTTTGAGCGTAGAGGCGTTCAGACAATATGCCTTATTTCCGACTTTTCAGAAATATAAAAATTATTTGCGGGTTATATCGATAGAAATAGTAATAGATAGATAGATAGTAATACAAGCAAATTTCAAAATATTATTTATTATTTTCCGTAAAAAGTTTAAGTAGGTACCTACATTTAAAGTTATGGAAGGTAAAAGTACCTAATATCACAGCATATGTAAACCAGGAGTTTCACACCGTTGTCGGCACTTTGATCTCTTTCAACCGTTTTCGGTGTCCTTGGATGAAGAAGCTCTGGTCAGGATCATAATAAGAATTTTTTACTTGTGTAGGAAAGTGTACCTATTAAAATATATAATAATCTTGATGAACTATATAATTTAGAAATAAATTATTAATTTGAATATTGATAGTTTTATTACAACTTTACTATTGTATTATTGATCTGTTTCTAATTACCTTGGGTAGTTTATTCGCAATTTGTTAGTGGCAATGTGTTATGTTATAAATTATGGAGTGTGTCAAAGCAACTTTAAGGTAATAAGGTTTAAGGGTAGGCACTTGTAAGATGCGTTTGCGTTTATTAATCTTATACAATGTTACCCAGATTCTTAAATAAAGGATTCTAAATCTCTCTAATAATATAATTGGTGTCATATATTTTACATCAAAATATTAAGGGTATGTATTATATTATGAAAATTAGTTTTGTAGCAAACTCCTTAAAATTTCTTGACTTTCTTCTTAATGCTAACAATTGTATTTCATATCTGTAATATAATAACTTTTTATATCAAACAGAAAACATTAGGAACGTGGTGATTAAAAAATGGAAACTGATATAGAGCTTATAAATCTTGGCATACTGGAAAGATCAGGGAATTATTTTTTTTTATCAGAGAATATACAGGGTGATTCAGAAAAAATATGTTTGAATGTTCACGGAACTCTTACAAATACAATTTTGTAAAAATCAAAGAGGGTAATTCGAAAATGATTTAAAAATATACTTCGGTACTTCACTGGAAACTGATCCACTGTATAACCTGACCTTACGCAAAGCAAAGCATGCAGTCGGCGATCGGCACGGCGTCAAAGTGTAATAAAAAATGAACGGACAAAAAAATTGAAAGAATTTCTTTCCCAAGGAAAGAAATAAATAAAATTTTATAACAAGACCTTATTTCAGTAAGTTCAACTGCTTTTGCCGCTACTGTTATTATTAATTAATAAAATTAATTTGTGGTTTTGATTAATAAAATAATTTAACATACATTAGGTACGTCAACAACAACTGTTCAAAATTTTGTCCACCGACGTGTAAACCCATAAGGGTCCGTCTTACCCAGTTTCTACGAACTAACACAAATGTTGTCTTGCTTCACAAATGTTTCACCATAACACCAATGTTGTCTTGCTTCACCATAAATTAATAGGATATCCTTCAACTCCGGGTTGCTATACACGTAAGCCATTTTTGACACTTGAAAAACTAATGTAAACACTATCGCAACAACGATAATACTAAAATCGAATTCCAGTATTCGGAATCGCCTGGGGCTACGTGGGCGAATGACCCTACACCCGTAATGAGGCTACACTAATGAGGCTACCCTAATAAGGCTACAGTAGTCCAGTGATATACAGGGTGAAAATACTATAACTTCAATAATTTTTTTCTCGGAAACTATAAGCATTTTACAAATATTTTTTTACGATATTGACTCTATGTTATATGACGCATCTATTCCCATTATTTTTGGATACGTTGTGAATCACTTGTATACACCCAGTTAAAAAGTTCAGTAAAATTTATAATATTTCGGTTAAGCATTGGAAAAGTCCATGATCAAAAGCACGACATATAGCCACTTTTCTATCTACCGTCTGAGACAACCTTGTTTTGGCAATTAGATTTAAAATTTAAGATTTAATTACAAGATTACGGAAATCCAAGAAAATTATCACAATTCCAATAACATCTTCAATATGTGCGTTGAAAAGGTTTAAATTAAAAATATTAACTAATCTATAGGTACTACAATACACAGAAATAAAAAATAAAGGC